AGAAGAGGAGAGAAAAGACAGGAACCTTCCATTTTGCAGGTACAACTCAAACAAAAATAAAAAAAGGAAGCGGGGCAAATATTAGGGAAACAAATTAGAAATATTATATACAAGCATTTCTACACATATATTACAACTGGGAACACGGCCTCATCATTGAGATATACATAATTCATATAAAATCTTGAAATAAAAATAAAAATCTGTTACAGTCATAAACTATTCTTTTTTCCACATTAACCAGTAACCCACACAGGCAGTGACAGAGGTGTAGAAAAAAAGGTGCTTACGAATAAAAATGATTGTCAGCTGGACAACAACAACAAAAAAAAAACAATGAAAGAAATACAGAAAAGGTTTGCATCTGGAGTGACCATTACTCGGATTTTTTTGACAGACAGAGAGGATAAGTCGACAAAAAAAATAAATAACAAAAAAAACTGAGGAGAGGTCGAGATATGAGTGTGTTTCCTCTTCCTGAAGATCCTGGGTAGGTTTTTTTGTTTTGTTTTTGGAACGGAGAGGTTTCTGAATAAAGTCCCCACATACAAATGATTCATGCAAGTGGCCATGCGTCCATAATAAGCGCAAATAGACGTCGTGCTTGTCCTTTAGGAGTCTAGGTGTCACCTTTTTTTACGTCCTCTAGTTATGTGACAGTCCCTGGAAGTTCAGGTCCATTATCAGTCCCTTCTAGGTCTGGCATGAGTGGGTCTGCCTAGCTATCATACATCACATTCTGAGTCGCTGGAGGTTACTGACAGGATGGAGGTGCCAGTCTCGGCTCGCTCTGCCAGGCTGGACACACTGGTGGTCGGACTGGCAGCCGCTGTGGAGGGTGACTCTGCCGAGCTGTGTGTAGGGCAACCCGGATCTGCCAACGACCTCATGCCGCTTTGTCCGATAGACTGGTGCTGAAGCCTGGTAAGGGGGACACCACAGACAGCAATGTGAATATTCAAATAGGGGACATTTTCTTTTCTCCTTGCCACAATCATTGGGGGGAAGGGGGGTCCAAGTGTATGTGTTCTACGCCACTACAATACAAGGGCACCCTGGCGCCTCTTACCCTCTACCCTTCCTACATGCAGGAGATGGATGGACCATGCTATATTTTCTATATACCCTACACTAGTTGTTTTTTTTTCATCCTAAACACAAATATGTTTCTACAACCCAGACTAGAACACAAAATTAAAAGCTTTCTTTCCTCATCCCAAGACAAGTCCAAAATATATTCTGCAGAGCCGATCTCATAGCGAACTTTGCGCACTTGCAATGTGCGAACTTTAGGAGCCAAAGATGAAAAACTAAAGGTCGCAAATTGTACTTCAGAGTTTGATTTTGTTACCCTACACATGGCACGAATTCTCTAAAGATTCCCATGAAACAGCATTTGTGCAGAAATGACTAAACTCTTGACTTTTTCACGTCTCATATTGGACTGTTTTACTATTTCACGTGTTTATCTCTCTCTATAATATTGCTGTCATAATGCTGACCCAGCTATGTACTCTATTAGGGGTACAACATGCAGCTGTGTTCTTTTCACTGTTACATATGATATACAGCATTGTATCTATACTTGGAAGATTTTGCTACATTTATTATTAAACAAAAAGAAAACGTATTATCTATGCAGTTTCTGCCACAAATGTCTACTTCATGCCTTGCAACCACAGTAGAATATTGGCACTTCATTGCCCATTGTACCCCAGTTTTATTGTCCTCTTAAAACCATAATAAAAAAAAAATTAGTAAAACACCCCAACATGTGTCAGGATTCATTCAACCCCTTCAGGACTTTATCCTATTCAGGTAATGACACTGTATTTGTCTTCTGAATAATACAAATAAACGTATTTGATCTTGCCTCTCTAGGGGCCTAATATGAAAGCACAATTTAAAAATCCTAATAGAATATGTAACTCAATCAATCCCTGAAAAGGCCAAAGCTTCCTATGCAATGGTTGCCTACGATTAAAGACTGAACTTTTTATACCAGAATATTATTATCACACGATAGAGAGAGAGAGAGAGAGAGAGAGAGAGAGAGAGAGAGTTATATTTAGAGGTGTATTACTGTGTTGCCCTGCCTCTTGTTGGGGGTCCCAGGTATTATTTAGGCGCTATATATTGTGCATTACTGGCGCTGTCAATACCTTTTTCTGTTGACAAAAGCCCCCCGTAGCCAACCTTGTTTACAATTTAAGCCTAGCTGCTGTAATTCCCTAATTTGCCCTAACCAACATTGAAAGAGGTAAACAATTTGTGTCAGTGTCTTTCTGCTCAGTACAAATGAAGCCCAGCCTGCCAGTGACATAATGTAATGAATTTCCACAGACAATAGGTACACTGCACGTTTGTTTACACACTTGCTGTGTTAATTAAATGGAAATCAGGACGAGCCCGGAGAAGCTACTTAAGAGGGGTTTTAGCCTTCTAGAATTGAGGTGCATCACCTAGACCTAATCAGGAGCCATGCACATGAGATGGGGCTAATGACTCGAATAGTGTTTATAAACATAACTTTTCCTGCTCTCCTTCCTACTTCTAACTTGCCCTGATCCATCTCCACATTGTACACTCACTGCAAGTATAGGTGTGTTATTCTGGCAGTCCTTACTGTGTGTACTTTACAAATATTGGAGAGGAGGTTAAAATGTCAGCTATTCCAAGGATAATAATAACGCTGATGATGATTTAGATATAACACAGCAGCTGACTAAGGCTTGGTGTGTGAATGCTTTGCTTCTGTTTATCTGTACTAGACTGAAAATAAAATCTCCTTGTAGAAATTGAATTTTTCATTTTCTATTAGATTTTATAATCCTTCTATAATCATTCTGTGATTATTAGGATACAGTATTATCATCGTCATATATTACCATGAAAGTGTTCAGTATGATAGTGCCACTGACCTAAAGTTAAGTGGCAGTGGCACAGGTATTGGGGTTGGGGGGGGGCACCAGATGTGGCACTGACCTGTTCTTTGCAGCCGCCGCTCTGTCTCTTTGCCTTCGGTTCTTGAACCAGTTGCCCACCTGGGTAGGGGTGAGGCCAGTGGCCTGGGCTAGTTCCCTTTTCTTGCTGGGGTTGGGGTAAGGGTCCTGTAGGTACCACTCCCTCAGCAGGCTGCGAGTCCTCTCCTTGAAGCAATGGGTTTTCTGCTCTCCATCCCAGATGGTCCTGGGCAGGGGGAACTTCTTCCTCACCCTGTACTTATCAACGGGTCCTAGGGGGCGCCCCCGGAGCTTCTCGGCCTCCTGGTAGTGGGCTTCCAGCCACATGGCCTGCAGCTTCCCGTGGGACTCCTTGGTGAACTTGTGGTTCTCCAGGATGTGGTAGAGGTCCCTGAAGTTGCCCGTGTGGAAGGCCACCACCGCCCGGGCTCTCAGGATGGACTCATGCTTGTTGATGGCCTCGCACGCCCCCGGGGCCACGGGCAGGGACCACAGGAAGCGCCCCAGCCTCTCGATGTCCCCGGTCTCCTCCAGCGTCTCGCACACGCTGGCCACTTGCTCCGGGGAGAAGTTGAGTGTGGGCAGCTGGAACATTGACAGCTCTTCGGGGGCTCGGGAGCCGCCACCTCCGCCGCCGCCGCCGCTGCCGCTGGCCAGGAGCAGGGAGCGCTCGCTGAAGTTTGGCAGGAAGAAGTGGGTGGGATAGAGCTCTAGAGGAGATCGGAACACCATGGAATGACCGCAGTACAAGAGAGAATCACAGAGAGAAAAAAAAAGAAAAAAACATTCAATCATTCAACAGCAATCGCCTAATGACACCGGCCTCATAATATCTCCCCTACATCCACACTGAGTGCAGCATTGAAACATTGTTTCGCTTTTCTATTGGTCTACCAGGTGTCGTTGTGAGGTCGCCATGGCGACACTGCCAATCACTGTCAAGCGTGCCAATCATCGCCTACTACGTCACACTACTACTTCCCCCATCTGAAAAAGGGGAGGGGGGGGGGAGATGTTTGCTGCTGCTTGCTGGAGGTTTATCTAATCTGCTACTCCCCTTCCCCTAAATAAGGGATCAAATAATGTGATTGTTGAATGGGATGAGCAATTAGTGGGTGGAATATTATTGTGATCTTAACGAGGCTAAA